AAGTAAACTCTCTGTGCATTGCGTATAGATTTAAATAAAACTCAACCTTCTGTGTACATCATAACTGGTGCTCAATCTTCAATAATCCGCATTTGAAAATTTCTGTAGCGTAATAATAATAATATTAACCCTTTTAACCACGAGCACGTAAGCTAGCAGATGGTCAGTGCTCTTAAACCTACCCGAGAATATTTCTACTGTTTTGTTAAGACACTATAAGACACTTTGAAACACGCCAGTTTCGTAAATATTGTCAGTTTTCCCACTACACCAGTTGCAAAAGCATCTGTTCCAGCGTGTACTGGTGTAATTATTTAAGGTGTACTATCTAATCCTAGTCTTATCTTCCTAGTAACTCTATACAATCTCTGTGTTTTGATGTAAAAAGTGTTACACACCATCTTTACGGTAGAACCCCAACTACCACGTGTCAAAATGAGAACAGATGTCTGACGAGGGATAATGTGAATATTTTCTTCTGTGCACTGCAGGCGGGTCATCTTCTCAGCCAAAGAAAGATAGTCCTTCTAAAAGCAAAGGCCAAGTCTGGACATCGTGGTGACAGTTCATTTATCTCTTGGTGATCTGTCCAGTGTCTGGAAATTAGAGATAAAGATAGATTTGACGCTGGATTTACTGAGCACGTTGTATAGCAAAATATGGTTTGAGGAAATTAATTGTCTACTTTTCCATCTTGCAATGATTTTATCTTAAAAATGTCTTCAGCCGCAGTCCATTACACTGCAATTCAGTGAATAAACGCGGAAGTCTTGCTTTAACCGAAAATGAAATGCCAGACCTTCTGATTTATGAATTATTAATTGCATTTCCTCGAAGACATTGGCCAAGCCTTGTAAGGATCTTAAGTTGTACTAACGTTTATTTTGTTTTAAAACTATAGTATCCTCTCTTATCTTCCACTTCCGGTCAGAATTAACTTCCGGCCACTTCCGGCGTTAACTTGTTTATGCAAATTGTACTTGTTAATGCCCAAGTATTTAAGTTGTGGCTTTTTGCTTATCTCACAAGCAGTCATGACGTGCTTCACACCAACACTCGCCTCTCCTGGTCTGCAGCTTTAGCTTGGATTTGATTTGTCTGCCTTGTGACAAGTGGTCACCCCATTCTCTTACCATCTTAGACCTCTCCTTCATCGGTTCGGACTCTTCCATGTCAGACGTCCTTCGGGCATATGTGTCAGGAGCCGGAAACATCGCGAGTCTTCAGCGATAGTCCGGCAATATCGTATACTGGACTGGACCAAAGTAGATAGAGAGAGAAAGGAGCTGCTTGCCACTGCATTACACGCGAGTTTTCAAAGCTCTGTCCGCCTTTAAGGCCAGGTTTATCCTCTTGATTAAAACGTCTTGTAGTTTCGGCAGTTGTCGTACTACATACGTAATATTTATAAGGCAGTCTTAGGTATTTGTGTAAATTATCAAAGTCATCTCTTATTTTAAAATTTTTTAGTAGTTTTTACTTTACGTTCAGACCACAAGTGGTTGGTCTCTGTATCCCGAAGTGTGGGAGCACCTGTAATATTGTAGAAAATAAAGGGTAAAGTTAACCCTTCTTGCTTGTGTTGTCCATTACACATCTATTTGAACATAGCTTGAGTAAGCTCCCTGTTTCCATTCAGGACACGTCATGTTCCCAAAACATGTTAAAAGGAATACAAGTCCTGATAGCCTTATTAATTTTATTCTTTGGATTAGATACGTATCTTCCCGAAAGCTAAGGTATTTTAAATAATTTTCCTGTTAATTAAAAGATTACATGGAGAAAAAGTTGAGAGTTCTTGCAGTGAGGTAAGAGTGAAATTTTACAGAATAATTACTGTTTTTCTATTTTTTAGACCGGATATTTCTTCCCGGACCCAAAGGCTGTGGTAGTTAAAATTACATTTCTGTTATATAAATTATAAAAGGGTATTGATTGAAAAGGCTGAGGAATTATTGTAGTAAACCAAGAACAAATACTTAAAGAATAATTATTAGCGTTTATTTTAATTCAGATAAGGAACACAAGTTGAATGACATTGAATGTTGTTTCCTTTATTTTTAAGATTATTATTTTTTGTGATAATTAAGTCAAAACGATAAAGGAATGAAAGGATGTGTTTTGACCTAATTTTTGTTGCGATTTTTTTCCCGCCTTCAACAGGTCGTTGCTTTCAACAGGCGTGAACTTGACTGAAATCTAGGACAGGATTATATTTATTGATATAGGCTTTTCCTCTTTCGAAAACGTTTAGATTAAAGATGCTTTTAACCCTTGAATGTCATTTGTTTTTACTTCACCAGGGGAAGAAAAAAAATGAGACTGTTATTTCTGTACCTTATTATTATCGCGATCTGCAATTTTGTAGATATTTTGAAAATAGACAAAGCATGCTTTCCTTTTATTTGGAAATAGCATGATCCGTTCGATGTGTTCTTTTCATGATACGAAGTTCTTTTCTTTTTAATATTTATGAGAGTGATACAGTTGTTAAGTTCTTTATTTAATCAGAAATATTTCACATCTGTTTTTAATTTTTTTTTTTCCTCTACCGTTTTTAAATGATTTTGCAAATACCAACGTTTGTGTTGTCAGAATTGCAATACAACGCAGAATGTAAATGTTCTCTAAAATAATTTTCATTAAGTTTTCTTTGTGTTCAGAGTAATTAAATTTACATATGTGCGTATCACTTCCTAGAATTCTGCATCTAAATTATTTTATTGCTCAATACTTTCACTGACATCAACCTAATTAATATTATGTAGGAGTGAGATATTCGAAGCTTCAAAATGATTTGACGACGTCATTATTGGGTGAATAATTAAAATTTTAGTAGTCTGGACTGGATTTGAATCCGTCCGAAAAGGCTAGATATATGCTTGTTTTTCCCGTTTTTCCCCCTTCATACGTAACGTGAATATAAACCAGTTTCTCTTAGAAACACCTTCACGAAGGCATCCAGTTTGTAGGCAAATAGGGTGTGCGCTTTGCTGTATTACAATAACCTAACCTACCTGAAAGGATAGAAAATCTCGAATTTTCGCGCTTTTTTAATTATTCAAATCATTCTAATTCTAATCCTAATTTTAAAAAATCATTTTACTTTTTTAATTCAAAACTTTAGAAAGATTAATTTTATTGCCTTTATTTAGAAACACCCATTAAAAAAGAACGCATTTTTCATTTTCGCAATTTTCTCAAGTTTACAATTAATTAATTAAAAAAAATAAAAACGGCTTTTTAATTTCTCTTAATTTTCTGGGAGGTATTCAACATTCCACATTCATTGTTTATCTGTGCTAATGTTAGAAGTAGTTCTACCCCCTCCCCCACATACTCTCTTTGATTTAAAAGAATTCTTTAAAAATATTTTTAAAAAAGAGAGAGAACTTAAACTACATTATTTTTCGTTAAATTATGTTAAAAAAATAAACCTCAGAATTCAAACATTTTTAATTATGTATTTGCTTTAATGAATTTAATTTGCGCCTTCTGATTAAATAAAGTATTTTTTAAGAATGCAGTCTGAATGTTTGTTTCTCGTTAAATGCAGATTTCATAATTTTTATTTTAATTAAGAATTCTGAATATTGAAGTGATACTTTTTGTTCTTCCTTCATCTTACTATTATTCTTATACAGAGAAATCGCGAGATTCGAAATTTATAAGATTCGAATAATATCTGACAATATTTAAGATTCGAATTCAAGAAAATTTTATGATTCGTCTAAGCTTTTTAATGTTTTTTTTTCCCCACGCAGCTTGGCTTCCAAAATACGCATATATGTTTGGGTAGGTAAACATATTAATTACGTTTTTAATCCAATAATATTTCGAACCTGTGTTGCCTGGGTTAAAATCCACTAGCTGTGAAAAGAATTGATATTAAAATTAGTTACTTTTTTGTTATATTCTGAAACTGATACTTGTAAATTACATTACAAACATGATATGGATTACATTATAAACAGGATATGTGGCATTAATAATATTATGTGAAATTAAATATTAAGGAATTGTAAACAAATATTAACTAACTAGCTAGCTGTATAACTACATGAGTTTTTTCTGGTGAAAAATTTTAAGTACTAGGTCTCTCATACTCTATCAGATGAATCACATAAAATTCTCCTTATTTATAAGATATCATTACTATGATGTCCATAACTTTTTTATTATTATTTCATTTTATATGTCATTGCAAATTCTATGCACAGGGAATGACCCCTTTGCGAAAAGCATATAATTCTTCTACTCTTATAGAGCACTATCACAGTGAATGTTTTGTATGTAAGGTATTGTTGTGTGGAAGGCATTGTTGTTAACTGAAAGGTTTCAGATTCTAAGGGTTACTCAAAAGGTTCTGTTAAGGGTTTGAGTAAATGCAAACCACATTATTAATTAAATTATTAATTATATTATAAATTTATAGAAAAAATTCAGGATTTTATCATTATATTTTTAATAATATGTGGGGTATTGGAGATATTTTGGTAAATTTTTGACAAAAATATTAATGTGTATAATTCTTTTGTTTGTTTCATTATTTTATGTCATCTCTGGAAAATAAAAAAGTGCTAATATATCTTACTAAATATAATTTATTTTTATCTTTTCAGGTAAGCTATTATCATTGTTCTAGATAAAGGTTTGCCCCTCTAAAATTCCAGAGGATCTTTTGTCTTGCGTTGTTGCTACAATCCTTAAAGGTCTGTGTAAAAATTTTTGAAAATTTAAGAATTATTAAAATTTTCAGTATTAACAAAAGCTCTACTTAGAGTTGCATCATTTTGAGTTAAAAGAAAAGAACGGGGAAAAACTTGAAGTTTTTTTTTAATTATAATTTGCCTGTAATTTTATATTTTTATTTATATTATTTATTTTTGCTCTGCAAACTTTGTCATTTTAGTTAAATACGTACTGGTAATCAGAATTTATATTTTGAAATGAAAATAACTATAATATATAACTGTTTTTCTATAAACACAGACGCTGGCCAGCTCTAAAAGTATTTATTAACAGAGCACAGGAACAGTTACAAAGAAAATATGCATCAAAACAAAATATACGCCAAAATGGAGCACCTAACATTTAGAATAAACATTCGAATCACCAAGACATAATATTGGAGCACCTATGCTTATCGCAGATGCAGGTCGATGGCTGTAAGTTGTTCACGTCGCCGCTAGATGGCGTTTGATAAAATATTTCGGTACACCAATTGTTGTGCTACAAATATAGAATAACAATAACAAAAACGACTTTAAATAAATGTAAAAGTATAATTAAACTTGAAAGATTAAACATATTATAGCATAATGGGACGTTAATTTAATGTAAGCTATAATTTCAAATATTGTAAATTATTTGGTTGTGTTACGTTCGTTCATATAATTAAAAGTAAAATTATAAATGTTATATAATTAATTTTAAAATTATAAATGTTCATTTAATTAAATGTAAAAAAGTTCATATAAATGGGAAAGCCTGCCAGATAGTTACGTTTTAGTTATTTTAATTACCTAAATAGTTCCCAATAAGACACATGAATTAACAATTCATAATTAGCATATTTATACATTCATAAAAGCACCAAGTTACACAAAATGATATAATCTAAATTTATATGCCATCAATTAATTAATTGGCTGCCAACTGAAAATAAACGACCATTCTTACGTAGCTAAATTCCAGACCCAAAGAGTATTCTTATCTAAGGTTTTGCGCCCTTTCAATGCGAGAAAAATGCAACTTGGGAAAAAGTGTTCGAACATGTTATTTGCCTTGTAATTAATTATTGGTACTGTTCTGTTGTTGGGACTGGATTCAGAAATGTATGTATGCACTTGTGTATGTATGTATGTGCGTATATGTGTATATTTATACACACATTCGTAGGTACATATATACATGCAAACTTGAACACATACTTCCATACATGCATATATGCATACATACATACATTTCTGAATCCGGTCCCGATACCGGAACAATACCTGATTATTTTATAATGCTTAACATTATTAAGAACGTCTGGCATAAAAAGAGTTTTTTTTTTGCTTCTTGTTTGGTTTTTTGGTGTTGTTGAGCGTGTTTGCGTAGTGTGAGCGTGTTTACGTAGTGTGAGCATGTTTACGTAGGTTGTCTACCAAAGCAGCATACCTGTTGCAAATGAAACATAAACATTAATGGGTGCTTTCCTTGAGCTTACAGAAGAGATGAACACGGTGTGTACACGATGAGCACAAATGTATCAACCTATGATATATGAAGAAAGAATATAACGTGGATAACAGGCGATTAACTTGCATGATATAAACTGCTGCGTAATATCAGTAGAGTCTACTTGCCATTCTTTTAGGTAGGCAGGTATTTGGCTGTACTTCCATGCGACACTTCATATAAATTCTGTCCCGGACACTTCTAGATTCCTATCCGGAACACCGCTAGATTCCTATTCCTAATCCTTGAGCTTCGGTAAATCTTCAGTGGGAATTCCTATTGCTAATCTAAACTTCACTAAATCTTCAATGGGGGGTATGGTCAGAAAGTCCTCCATAAAGGCATCCATCCGTTAGGCAGATAGCCCACATGTAATTTGCCATATCCATCCATTAAACAGATAACCACATACGATTTGCCACATAGTAGCTATATTCTGTGCCAAAGATCTATGCATCGAATCACCGCACCGCTCTGTACAGAATCATGGCTACTGGCCACGTCGATAAGGACGACATACACTACTGATAGGCACATCAAGACACATTTCTTGGCTTATATAATGTCGAATGTTTGACCTCTTTAGTATTGCGAAGACGCAAGAATGAATACAGATTTCCCAACACGCCCATAAAAATTGAACTTTTGTACATTTATATTTGGCACCATCTACTTTATCAAATATTCAATGTATAGCTGGGTGAGGGGGGGGGAAAGGCACTAATTTTTATATCTTTCTTTTAAAGTAACCTGTAAGAGAATTCAATTTTTAAAAAAGCGACGAAGTTTCAATTAATGCAAAATCTGACGTTTCTAGATTTTTACTGCCGTAATTTATTTTAGCTAGTTCAGAAATACTTCTTTGACGCAAACACGATACACGTTTACACATTCTACTGTAATCGCCGCGTAATCCTTTCGCGAAGTAATTTTCTAATATGTTCTTTTTATATTCATAAATTTTCAAATATTTGCTTTTCACGTTGGGAGAAAAAATAAAAATGTTCTTGGTAAATATTCGTGCTTTAATTGCTTTTTAATTTTATATGCACACTTCTCTTCTAACGCACTTTACTCAGAGTTAAAAAATAGGGATAAAATTTTCTGTTCCTTCCCCTTAACCCTCCCCACCATGCATCGCTTTTGTACTGTTCTTCCATTTTCTAATCACGTGACGGTTGGGTGAACCCATCTCTTCTTTAAAAGCGAGTGAATAGGGGGAGGCATACATGTTTGGAGGGACTGCAAATAATGAAATAACACTTTGATCACATCATGGAACTGCAACAAATATTTGCATTACGTTCTTGTCATGGTCTGTTAGTATTACATGGGTCAAACCTGCCAGATTTTAAGAGGGGAAAAAAAGTATAAACGAAGTAAAATTGCATGTTGCATATGAAATGTAAAGTTCCAAGAAGGAAGTTATGAATTTACACTCTCTGACTAAAATTGTATAGAATATTTTAACATGTTAGACAGAAGGAGAGGGAGATGGAGTTTTGAATGGTCGATTTGAATTATGGCCGCAAAGGATCAAGGGAAAGGTGTCATTAAACCCGGAAAACAACAAATGTGCTGCCTTTTCTATGGAATTTGGGGTGACTGTTTTTGACTTATTGATTGATGAGTATCATATCGGTACTGTTCGTTATTTACTGTAGAATAATAATATGTGTTAGTGTCACTTTTCTTGAACAACCATAAGCTACGTGGTGTTTGTTTCTATATATAATATGAATTTGAGTCAAATTACACATAGAAGTCTTTTCTTGAAGCATTCATCCGAAAGTAGATAAAGTTCTTTACCATAAATAAATTACGTATCTAACCTACCATGAATATTTAGATGTCTAAGACCTTTTTGTATATCTTCAATTTCGCATGAATAATTTGATAAGAAAAGTATGTGGTTAGAATTCAGACTGTATTTTGGACTCAGCAGTTTAAAATGATTGTGACAATATTTCAGTTTTATTTATATTACTTTATTGGCAAAGGAAAATATTCGTTAAATAATCGTCTTACAAAGAACTTTCTGAAAATAAAGTTGGTAGTTATTTTAAAACTGTTAACGAAAGGTGACTGTCACACTTTAGATAAGGAATACTTTTATAATATCCTAGATTCACTTTTAGCTAATTTTATTGTTTCATTTTTTTCATCTATTTGTGGGAAGTAATAATTGAGAGACATCTTGCTTTATTATATTCAAAGATATTCCAAAAATAGGCATGTAACGATAATTTTTTGTGGTGACATAGCTGTAACGTGATGATGGAGCTCTCGCATAAAAATGTAGTTGCAGTCATAGTCGCTTAAACACTTCTTCTTTCTTGACAGACCGTTCTTGAATTTTAAAATACACAGTTTAGTCGGCCCGAGACGTTCTTCAATAATTACATTCCTACATTTCACATATTTATAACAACATATTTGAGATAAGAAATCAAAGCAGCGGACTACGTGTTAGAGGGACAAAGTTAAGAAGCAGATTAGGTAGATCAGTGCTCCACAACCTTTTCTCACCTGCGACGCACAAAAAAATCTTTCTGGAATTTTCGTGGCACACCAAAGAGTTCCGAGTTATCAAGGAAGTGCCGAAAAAATTCAAATGCTGACACACTTACAATCACACACACAACCACACAACAGTGAAATATATAAAAACATTTAAAATAGACATTATTAAGGAAAAAAATTGTCATTGTGTATTAAATGCATGATAAAAAATTTCAAAATGTCAAATACATGTATTTGATTGCGGCACACCTATATCCTACTCATGGCACACCAGTGTGCCGCGGCACACCGGTTGCGGAGCACTGAGGTAGATTACGATATGGTTGTTATTAAAGTTATGCTTGCAATTTATTTCTTTTAGTTAATTAAGATTATGGTTTGCAAAATTTAATATTATTACCGGCTAAAAGACCTACTTGAAATACGTAAGTGCATGCGTCATCAGTCTCATATAAGAATCATATGATAAGAATTCGTTTAGGAAAGACACACTAACAAGCAACACACTTAAAACAAATCTCCATGTTAGAGAGATTTGTTGTAAGAGACATAAAGGGGAAATAACCAATTCGAAAAGAAGTCTTTACGGGTATATTAAAAATTTTAATTAAGATTTTATTTTTATTCTTCATTTTATATGTATGTATATAATTACAAATAGTAGATACAGAAGAAAATTCGAAATACGATTTAATTTAATTTATTTACTTATTTGGTATCGTTATCTAGAGGAAAATATTTTTACCATAATCAATTCCTTTCACTAATAACCAAGTTAAACAAAACAGCAAAATTTGTTTTATTAAATGTATTTTCTGTACATTTTAAAATTTTAAATATTATAATTCAATCACTTGTAAATATGTTTATAAATATTGCAGATTGCCTTTATTTTTAGATTCTCAGGTACTTACGTATCTTTATACAGAAAATTTCAGTAATACCATGTGGCTGTAATTAGCACTGATACTGAGAAAAACATATAATATTATAAAACAAATGCTGAAAGTTTATGTACGTTTTGATGTATAATTTTATGTATAATGTTTATATAATGTCATTTTAATGATCTTTAATGTTATATATTGCTAGTTTTTGATATATTGTTGAATCAAAACGTATGCGTATTCTGAAGCACAGTATATAATTTGATATCATAAACAAACCGTACTTTATTAAAAATTTATATTATTAGAACCTCTGTCGTACATGTTTTCCTTATACAATTTATTCTGTAAATTTACAGAGCGCACTGTAATAACCATTAAGTTATAATAGGCTTATCGTATTCTCTCTTTTACATTTCTGTATGTTATTTAATCGGAATGTTAAAGGAAAAAAAAAGAAGCAAATAAAGTAAAAATAAAACAGCTAAAGCTTATCTTACACTTTAAAACCGCAAATTAAATTTATTTCAGAAAATATTGCATTTTACTTTATTAAAAAATCTTTTCCGGAGAATAAAACTTCTACTCAGAAAGAAG